AATAGTACTTGACGAAAATTCATCACACGATTTACGATAAACGGATGCAATTAAAAGATCATCTGGTTCCTCACAAAGAAGATCAAGATCCTCATTCAAAACCCAACCCCTTTAGTTTATATTATTCACATGTTGTACTTGTAGCTATAGAAGTAAATCCATATGAAATCAAGTGTGAATAAACCAGCAAATCTCAATCGTGGGAAACCGATCTCAGCAAAAGTACAGAGCACGGATCAGAGAGAACTGGAAAAAGCCACAAGTTCCAAACAGATGGACTCCGACTCTGTACGTCAGCTCCTGCGGAACTGAACCCGGTACACCCTCCAGACAATTGGTACGCGACAAAACCGCACCCCCAAACCAAACATACAAATCAAACCAGGTGTAACTTTTTTTTATCATATTAATAAAATTTTCTAGTGCTGCTGAAGTTTAAAATAAAAAAATACTGATTATAGTGTTTAAATACTAAATGATTTTAATATTTGTTTCAAAAGTCATGGCTAATATAGTAACGTTACTTTAATTTTAGGGGTATTTTCATCCAGATTCAAAAATTTGAGTTGTTGGATTCAATTTAGTGTTCCTATTGTTTCCTTTAATTACATTTCTACATTTATGCATCGTTACTCAAATTTTTTATTTTGAATATTATTTTTTAGTTCAATTTGAATATTTAAATATGAAAATCTAACCACTTTTATGGAAAATAGTTAAAAGAAAATTTATATATCATCATATATGATACTTATACCATAGGTTGATAAAATACATCTAACCTAGGATAGAGGTATCTATGAGAAAAAAAACATTTAATCACAACTTAATAAAAATTGAAAAAAAAAAACGATGTGAATATTCAGTGAATAGACCTAACCCAATAAAATTGACTAAACCCACATACAAAGTTGAACTTACATCAAGTTTACTCTTAATTTTATCTCATTTTCTCTCCCCACTCCCTACTTTTTCATTTTGTTATTTACTACAATAATTCCTTTTATTGTAACCGAAAAATTAGTAGAAAAAATATATCCTCTTAACAAGAGGCATATCATGTGTTAAGAATTTGCACCTCTCTCTAGTATGGAGTCAGTAACAACTTAGTCCCTATTTTAAACTTAACACTTTACTATCCTAAACTTTCAGATCTCTACACGATTTGCTTCTTTGTAAAAAAAACAAATGTTATTTACCCTAAATAAGGCCATTCTAGTCAATCCTTAAGGAATTTCGATCATAAGCGTGAAGTTCTGTGGATAGGTCAAGAGGTATTTTAAGAAAGAGTTCCCCCTCAATCCTTAGGAGCCAAGTATTTCTCTTTAGATTCATATTCTTATGTTTTGGACGTCTCTCAACTTAACGGAAAAGTTGACGGAGTTAGCAAACTGACTACTGATGCAACAAATGACATAATTCGAGGACAAGAGAAACAATTAATGGAGTTTAGTGATGAAACTAAACTTGTGGCATAGATCAGGAGCCTTTGCTACAATTTAGCATTTTTTATAGTTCATTTCATATTTATTTAAAAACACCCTAAATTCAAGCTAAAATTGACATATTGTAGCAGTTCTAGTTAGAATAGGAATGTAATTGTGTAAATCCTAGAGAATATGGGAAAGTATTATATATTCCTATTAGGAATAGATTACCTATTAAATGTTGTAATCATAAAGAGAAAGGTATTTACCCTTCCACCTACTATAAATAAAGGCACAATGGGGTGAATCAAACACACCTCACAATTAAATCAATCTCTTTTCTCTCTAAAGTGGCCGGCCTCTCTCTCTCTCTCTAAACCTTAGATCGCTCAATTAAATAGGCCTACAACATGTTATCAGCACGCCCTTGCCAGAAGCTGAGGAATTGAAGCATCGTAGGAGGAGGCTATCATCCACCACATTCAAAGGCTTATTCGTTTTCTACTGCTCAGGTACGCTTAAAATAAAGGAAGATATTTGAAACGACCCATGAAGCATGAAAATATTCCCCATGATGCATGAACCCCCTATGTTTATATTTTCCTTCCGATATATATATATATATTGTACATGTTCATATACTTGTCACTATATATATTTGTTTCATGCATCGCACAATTAAATTGTTATGTGGAATTTGTGAGTCAATGTATAAAATTAAATTAGAAGCATATTAGGTTTTTCCTAAAACCTAAAGGGAATTGGAAAAAAAAAGGGGGGGGAATGGGATTTGGTGCATCGCACCATCCCTATGCCAAAAAGGAAAACAGGCTTCAGCCTGATTTTGGTTTCTTTGCTGGGCCTGCAGCCCATGGCCTCTCTCGGCCTGCATCAAAAACCTGCCAACCCTCGGTTGGGTGCCTTATGCACACAAGGCACACAAAGCCAGCCCTCGGGTTGGGCCTCTTGCGCCACAAAATCAAGGCCCCAGCTTCGCTGGGCTCCCTGCGTAACCAACCTGCAAGCCTTGGGCTTGCCCCCGTGACCCCTTGGACCAAAACACCTAAACCAGCTACGGCTGGGGGTTTTGTCCCTCCTGTGACCTGCAGCCATACCCTAGGCCCTGCCGTTTTTACTCAAGGCACCCCGTGCCTTCCCTTACCCACGGCACCCATGCCCAAATTATTTTGGGGCATTTTTCCACCCACAAGCTATTATTTTAGCATTTTAAATAATTTAACCAGTATGTTAATATTATTTTCTTCTACAATCGACCATGTATGGCCCGATTTATTGAAGTAATTAAAAGTGACCTGGAGTCCACTAATATGATAATGAATCCAAAATTATTGACCTGAAGATCACTTTTGGACATTAACGATTCAATAATTTATTTTTATACTTTGAACCGTCATATACTTTCGTAGTACCGAAGCTCTCACACTTGAGTTCCCGAAGCCAACTCAAATCCACTACACTTAGTTAGTATCTTGCATTCTGTGTTTCTTGCAGGAACCTCTCATTATGAACTAATCGTTCATAAAACTAATTTGAACCTGTAGTTTCAAAATTAGTGCCTTTGAAACCTGAAGTTTCCCGAAGCCATCACACTTGAGTTCCCGAAGCCAACTCAAATCCACTACACTTAGTTAGTATCTTGCATTCTGTGTTTCTTGCAGGAACCTCTCATTATGAACTAATCGTTCATAAAACTAATTTGAACCTGTAGTTTCAAAATTAGTGCCTTTGAAACCTGAAGTTTTCATTCAAAACATACCACATGAAACCTGAAGTTTTCATGCATAAATTAAACTAATACATGTCTATAGAACTTGTATGTTCTACGATATATGTCTATGGCTTACCATATGACTAATCACTTTTTTCCCGTCGTGAGTCTAACTTTGCACATGTGGATCATCTGGACGATGCAACCATATCAATTGAGATATCAGACTTCCAGGAGGCATCAGCACCTATGGAAGACTAAATTAGACATGTTTTAGGGCATTAGCCCCTAGTGGCCAAACCCACTAGGAGTGGCCGGCCCCTACCCCCTATTTTGCTAGGTTTATGGTTTAATTTTGAACAATTTTTCTATGTATTTGGAATCATTTGTTTGGTTTTGGTTTGTTTTGAATTATGGATAATTGGAATGGATATTATTTTCTCGAATTGCTTAATTGAATGAATGGACTTATATTTATGCATGTGACCAATTCAATCAATTTATTTCTAGGTATGTCTAGTGGGGAAGTTAGTTGTCTAGCAGATAGTGCAACTACGCACACCATTTTGCGTGAACGACACTATTTTACTAACTTCATACCCAAGAAAGCTCCTTTGACAACTCTCTCAGGCTCATCCAACCTGATTGAAGGATACGAAAAGGCACGTATCATGTTGTCTAATGGTACAATCTTGACCATTAAAGAGGCACTCTATTCTCCACGTTCCGGAAGAACGTTGCTGAGTTTTAAAGATATTCGAGATAATAAATATCATCTTGAAACCACTGAAGATCATGGTTCTGAATTTCTTTGTATCACTTCATACGAATATGGCTAGAAGCATATTCACGAGAAGTTGGAACGTCTGCCGAGTGGGTTGTACATCATAACCATTCGCAGCGTAGAGGCCCACAGTGTGGCTGACTCTATGCCTGAGTTCCAGGACAGTTTTTTTCTTTGGCATGACCGTTTGGGACATCCTGGATGTGACATGATGCGACGTATCCTCAAATCTTCACACGGGCATAAGTTACATCCACACGTTGGAGTCCCACCATGCATAGCGTGTTCTTTAGGGAAGTTGAATACTCAACCCTCTCATACAAAGATTAATCAAGACCCTCCTAAATTTCTTCAAAGGATTCAAGGGGACATTTGTGGACCTATCCAACCAACATGTGGACCATTTAGATACTTTATGGTGTTGGTTGATGCATCGACAAGATGGTCACATGTTTGCTTGTTGTCCACACGCAATACCGCGTTTGCTAAACTCCTAGCTCAAATTATTAAGCTAAAGGCTCACCACCCTAATTATCCGATTAAGTCGATTCGACTGGATAATGTTGGAGAGTTTACGTCACAGAATTTTGACGATTATTGCATGTCAGTAGGGATTAATGTGGAACATCTTGTGCCCCATGTTCACACCCAGAACGGCCTGGCAAAAGCTTTCATAAAGCGCCTTAATGATGCTCGCCCTTGGTTATGATAACCAAAATGTCGTATCTGCCTGGGGTTATGCAATATTGACGGCAACTATGTTGGTCTCCACTTGGGCCCACTGTTACCCAACACATTCACCGTAAAAGTTGGTTCACTGGATACAGCCTGACGATCTCGCATTAGACTGTTTGGGTGCGCATTATGCCAATAGCGTCGCCGCTACTTACCAAAAGGGTTCTCAGCAGCAAAATGGATCTATGTCAGTTATATTCGCCATCATTGCTTCGATACCTTAGAATCCTTGATAGGAGATCTCTTACCACACCATTTTACGGATTTTTTTTGATGAGACAGTCTTCCCGATCGTTGGGGGGAGATAAGCATGCTAACGTTCCTATTAGAACACCGAATTAGTCTCGGTTGCTCCCCTATGTCCATTTATCCCGACCCCGTCGAAACTGGCCATACAAGTTAGAAACTCAAGATGCCGAGCGAATATTACAAACTGTGCCAAGTCCAAATCCCGCTGCAAACACAGCAAAAGAGTGTACCTGTACATAAAACGCGTCTGAAGCCCGAGCGTCCCGAAGGTGGGAGTCGAGATCACATCATACATTGGCGGCTTTCAACATTGTCTCCGACCCTGCAAGCGTGGCAAACCCCCTGTTCAAAGATTTCAAACCCGGAGGAAAATTTGGGCACCAACTGTGCCCTAGTCTTGAATCTGACACACACCATCCGTCAACGGAGAGTATTTAGATACTGTGAGATGAAACATGCCGGCCCTCCCGAACGTGAGATTCGGTCGATACCCATGTATTGGATGAGGTTTGAATAGGAATGAGGATGATCCGTTGACGACGCATTTCTTGGTACTCAGTAGCTTACAACAATCAGCTTACAGATGACATTGAACCACGTTCCTCCAGATACAATGCTCGACGTAAAACGATGGTCAAGACTGGAAAGCAAGCAATCCAAGTTGAACTTGAGTTCGCTCGCGAAACGAAAGTGTTGGTAGCTGTCGTCCTTCACAACCACCACGCGTGAAGCCTGTTGGCACAATGGTTTTCATAGGAAGCGTATTGAGAAGAATGAAAATAGTGCGATACAAAGCACTGCCTCGTAGCGCCAAGCTCTCCCAACGCCATGTAGAATTGATTCACGAGGAGAACGATATCCCCCCTAATGGACGTTTATAACGTTTCCTGTACCTTATGAGTTTGTAGTTCTGAAAAACTGATATGCAGCTTATAGACGTGGTACACGTATGTACTTGATTAGATAGGCACTGATCACTAAGTCCAGATGACTTGCCATTGTAATGGCGCTCAAACTTCACACACGGAAACTGACATATATTAGTAGGAGGGTCCTTACGGATTCAAAAATCCGTCGATGTGGTATAACCGTTAAAATCGCAAGTCACCTATGGACATAACAAACTATGCCTGCGTCATAAAAAGTTCAATCCAGTTTGCAACGCTTTGCAGTTTTAAGTCTGATTACATGAAAATACCCTTGTACTCCCGAATAGCTTGAGGAAACACGTACACTTTGAAAAAATCAGAATTTGGTACTGAAGATTTGGAAACCTCATATTCCTCGGCCGCAAGGTCGGATTGTTCAGCATGATCTGGAATCAAGTCGAAACTACTCCAAAAAGTGTTACGTCTGCTTACATGTATGGATTAACAGGCTAAGCCTGTCTGAGACAACACCATGATCATCGGACGCCTAGAATGCTAGGCTGGTGAACGAGCGAGGGATCCGCTTGCCGGGTCCAAAGGGGAGGATGGGAGAGAGATTTTGAACCCGAAGTTCCTATAACCTAAGTGCAATGGTGCTTTATTCGTATTAGCTCAGTGCACTAGACCCGAACATCTCCTCTCGCTGTTGAATCTATTGGCTAGGTTACAGCAATGCCCCACACGCAGGCACTGGTAATGAGTTGTCAAAACATTTTCCGCGTACTAAAGGTTACTACGGATTTGGCTTGTTCTATACCCACAATCTCCATTAGTTGCCGCCCCCCCTATGATCTTGATTTCCATGCTGCCTTGTTGGTTACGCAGAATGCTGCATATCGTCTGACCCACATAGATGCACGTCTCAAACGGCGTTATGTCTTTACTGTTTGGAAACAACGCATTTCTTGGAGGTCTACCAAGCAAACGCTAGTTGCGACTTCGTCTAACCATGCTAGACTCTCGCCGCTACATGAAGCATCGCTGACATCTTTGCTAGAGAAGGTGTGGACACCTCACACTTCGAACACTGTTACCTTACTTACAGTTACCTAATGATATAAAAAGAAGGGATATCGGGACATCACCAAGAACAAAATATACTCACACCAGCCACAACATGTATTGATATAGAAAACGCAATTCCCTGGGACTGCCAATTTGGCCAGTCTAACTTTAGAAGCTCATCCAAAAATCCGACGTAAATTATCAGAATTAAACGTGTCCTCTCATTTATATTATGATAACTGGGAGTGAGGGATACCACAGAAAAAAACTCTTGTTTACTAATTAGGCAACTCTAAAAGGTTTAAAACCATAAACAAGGTGAGACTAAGTCTACCAATAATACAATCTTTCAAGTCTTGCGGCATCCCATTCCTTGGAGTTGTTTTTGACGACAAAGAACCCAAAAATGAGTGGGCGGTCATATTAAAACATATTTATGAACCACCGAATTTGCACACCAAGGGAGACTAGACTTTAAATATTCTTTAATAGGAAGAATTTTATCATCAATTAGGTAGTCCTTTAATTTTTTATCATAAAAAATTTCTCAAAACTAAAATAAAGCACAAGGAGATCCACAACTCACATAAAATCAACTCTCTCTCCAAAGCCGGCCTCCTCGCTCTTTAAACCTTGGGTGGCTTATAATCTAACATATGACATTTTTGAAGCGTATAAGCACAAATTCAGGAGCAATACATCCAAGAATTTCTTCAAACTTCATCAGCCAAAAATCTCACTTGATCAAAACACATTGTGAAAAAAGGTACGGTTTTAACTGTATTAAACCCATGTCTATGTAGCACCATTTATTCTTATCACAAATGACGATCTACCATTTCTCTCAATATAAACAAGAGCTGGACCCAATAAACCATAACAATATAATATTTCCAAACATAAAAGAACAGATAAATTATACAAGCGTTCAAAGAGTTAGACTTAAAACAAAGCGCATATATATTAGACCCGAAGATTGACAGAACAAGACTCCTAAATTTAATTGAACATGTGTTTTTATATTCTTCCCTCAAAAGATTCCAACACGAAAAATCACACCATTCCACACACCCACACACTTATAGTATTATATTATAATTCAATTTTCACAAACCAAAGGGTTTTTCAGGACTAATACAAAAATCATCCATCCACATTGTCATTGCTCTTTAGGCATCTCCGTAATGCACTTTCTATTAATCTAATTATATGATTTAATCAAAGTATAAAACACATTCATCATTGCAATATCGATATGATTTCTCCAATTAAAAAAATTGGTGATTTATATTATAAAGGAAATAAAAGATTAACAATCTTTTTTTCTAATCACTTCATGTGCTTCTAGTTCCTTCAGATTACTCATTGATATCAATAAATGACACGGAATCGACACAGTATCTTGCTCAAGAGTGCTGCTCTTCAAACCTAACTAGACTTTGTGGCATTTTAATTAAAATCTAAGAACCTACAATCTTTAAGTCACAAGGTGCAGAAGCTCTATTGGAATACTCTCCGTAGCTCATAACTTTGAACATGCACGAGAAGGGAGTTTGCCGAGAATTTAACCCAATTATTATGCCTCGATGAAAGGACTCATTGTCTTAACAAAAGAATATGTACTTCCGACCAGTTCTGGGGAGACAGGCATACGGGACCTTTTAATCAGTGGAAGACCATGGAGTGAGTCGTATTTCCCCGCATCGTTGACCGTAGTATCATGCTCTCATTAGCCCCCTGGGACTTTGTTAGGAGAAAACTCCGGACTTCTCACGTCCCGCTAACGTGGCTCACCTGCGAAGTGGCCGGCGATTGGAGGAACGAGGGACGTGGGGTCCGCGGAAGCTGGCGGTGATGAGGGGTTCTGCTGGCCTCTATGCCTGAGCACCGTTGGGGGAGTGGCGTCGACGGGAACAGGCTCTTTCTCGTGGAAGCGGAGTTGCCGTAGCCGTGGATTGTTCCACGTGGCGTTCTGGCGGCGGGGGATGCGAAGGAGAAGGACCGGGCGTTTAGAGGAGAGATGAGCGCGGGTCCCAGCGGGGAGGGTGTGGTGGGGCCTACTTTGGATGCTGACGTGTCTGTGAGGCTGAGGTACCAAGGCTTGAGAGAGTCGAACTGATGCTGAGCGACAGTGAAGGAGAAGCGGGAGGATGAGCAGGAGCCGATATTGGCCGTTGATTTGATTGAGGAGGGGTCGAATCGAAGGGACGAGGCTCGCGGGTAGTTTGAGAAGGCACTGAAATCCAACGACTCCTCAAAGTCTAGGGACGATACCATCATCGTAGCCGTTGAAAGCTCAACGAACGGTCGAACACCCTACAAAGTACAAACCAATTAAACACAATCCTGTCGCACTGAACACATTGAGTTTTTTTACTTCTTCCTTGTTGTCACATAAATTAACCAGTAAAAATTTAAATACACACTTTGGGGAATTTTTTTTTTTTTTTTTATAAATAAACTCCAAAGAGGAAACAATGTTACGCATGTTAACGCAAGGAAAAACTTAGAAGTCAAATGTGAGATCTCTAGTTCTTGAAGCTACATATTAAAGTGTATGTGTGTTAAGGTGATATTTTTTTACCCAAAGTTTGATCCTTTTGTCATAGTAACAATGTTTAAATAAATCATTTTTAGTATCTATGAACACTTAATGGTTCCACAGATTTCAACGTTCCCTCAGTTTAAGCCATTAGATCAAGGATGACCCAATGAAAAGATCTGCCCGCCCTGAGAAAAAATATTTTCGACAAATAAATATATATCGATATGGAAAGAATGTAGGTATTGAATAAGATGAGTGCCTTTTAATTGTTGATAGCTATCTTATATCGAAACAAGCAATAATTGTGGCATAATTTGAACCCAAGCAACCAATCAAGAGCTCATGATCCCCACCAAATATTGACCTGCTATTTTGAACTCTGGGAAACCCAGCACAAGGATGTGACTTAAGCTTGAAAAGTAAGAAATATAGGTGGGTTTTTGGTTTTGTACCCAAAAGCACCACACATAATGCATAAGTGGTCAAAACAAATACAGTAACACCAATAACACACACCCAGCACCAGCAAGCTCAACAGTAACCTTGGACTTTTTCACCACCAAGTTCCAACCCAACGAGATGGATAATTTTAAAAATTTAATTAAATTTTTACCTTCCAAAGATACGAGAACATCGTAGGGGGGTCAATTACAAACGCCTTGAAGAGCCGTCCTGGGTAGTACTCTGCCACAATTTTCAGTGCTGCCACCAACAAGTTCATAAAAGCAGAAGCTGACCTGAAAAAGCCTGCAAATTATATATATCCCATTAAATATTTAATTAATTTCAAAATTATGTATTTTAATTAGTGATTAGATGAATAAAACTTGATTAGTGTCTGGCAAGGCAGAAAAGTAGAATCCTGGGAACTTCTGCCACAGGATCAAAAATATTTAAGGAAGAGAGCTGTGTTGGAATTGAGAATTGACCAATTCAAGGGAGGACTCCAATTCCCCATAATGCCCCTACATTCCTGGACCACTAATGAGGGATTGACCGTGACACATGAGGGGCACTCCGGACAATTTCTGGTGATATCTCAGTCCCCAGAAAGAAACACGGTGCAGCTTCTCCGACATAGCTGCGTGCCTGGTCTCTCATTAACTAAGCTGTTTCAACTATATCGTGCAGTTTCTAAGTACACCAGTGTTGATTGACTAAATTAACCTTATGGGTGAGGGTGCGTTTGTTGGGCTTGTGAGGGTTAAGATTGGGATTTTGGAGTAGGGGGCTTACTTGCGTCGAAAAGGAGGACGAACTGCTCGACGTTTTTTAGCATGGACTCAATCGCCACCTCCAGCGTGAATACCAACAAGCGAGTGAACCTTAAAAATTTACAAAAATGGAAATTTAATTTTAGAAATAAAAACATGCTTGAAAATTAATAATTTGGAGGAAAATAGAAGATGGAAATATTGATTTAAAGGATTTCTGGGTTTTGTTTGCTCACAGTTTTTGTGAATGGAACTTCTGGTAATCTTGTTTAATCCGGAAAATCTGTGAAAAATTTAAGAAAAAAAATGTTAGGTTCAATAAAACACCAAAACCAAAAAATTAAAAAGGAAAAAAAGAGAGGAGTGAAATGGCAAGTACCACAACAGGTCTCGATTCTTCATCATGTCCAGACGTGTAGGCAACGCCTTCAGCGAGTTCAGCTGAGAACTCATCTGCTATCAAGTTCTCTGTGTATCAACAACATGAAAAATTAAAATAAATAATCAAAACAGATTTGAATTTTATTTTTTTTCTCCTTTTTTGGGGTTTGAAAAAAGTAAATTAAAAAAAAAAGGGAAAGAAGTGAGTTTAATCATTAGTGGGAGTTGGGTTTACACTTTAACGCTTAATTCAAAGTTGTGGAAAAAGCAAGATTCTTTGGTTAACCACAAAACAAAAAGAGAAACCAATATGCACTTAAAAAAAGAATAACTAGCAGAAGGATAGAGAGATAGAGAGAGGAACAAAATTGAAAACTTGGATTTGTATTAGTTTACCAGTTCCAACACTCTGTCGCCATGAAAGGCAAGCCCTAAGTTGCTTGGCTGCCTTCTTAACACTATCTCCTTTTGCTTTCAAAAACCTCTCAACACAAGCAGTGTTGCAGAACTTCTCCTGCAAAAACAAAAATGGCAGCACACAAAAAAAGAGACGTAAATTCCATGGCAAATGATAACAGACAACCCATTGAAAAGATTATAAATTTAAGAAAACCCAATAAAAATATTGAATATTTAAGAAAACCTGTGAAGTTAAAAATGGAGATCTGAAAGTTGGTGTGAGAAGCCAAACCTGTTTGACTGTGAGTGGAGCATGTTTTCTCAGAAGCTGAAGAACAGCTTCCACTCTTCCATTTTCTTTGCTCTCTTCATCTCTCTGCTGCTGGTCTTTCTTTCCCATTTCGAGATTTCCGACCAGTGATGAAATCAAAAAACCAAAAAATTTCCAACAAAACACTCAGATGTTTATACCACTCTTCAAATTTACGCAACCATTAAAATGTTTCACTCAGCACAGAGAGAGAGAGAGAGAGAGAGAGAGAAATATGAGAGGGAAATGATCGATGTTGAAACTTGAAAACTGAGAGGGTTATATATAGCAAAACGACAGCTCATAACGCCGTTACAATGGCAGAGCACACTGGCGCATGCAAATGAAATCCCAAACCTTATTTATTAAACTATGGAGGCTTCTTTAAATTAAACTAAAGTTCTATCTACGTCAACCGCTTAGGTTTTGGTCAATGCCATTGTAATAATATTATATTTTTGCAATGATGGGTCCTAAAGCGATTCGTAACGGAAAGCGTCGGCTGGTCCAAGCCCAAGCCCATCGCCACCACCTACCTTTTAATTACTTTTATTACTTTCCCATTTTACCCTGATCTTCTCTAACCTTTCTCTGTTTTTTTTTTTTTTTTTTTGGAAACTCTCTAACTTTTAACCTTTCTCTGTTTGTCCTTGTGTTTCTTTATCAGAAAAGTATTGATTTTCTTATTTTGGTGGTTTCCTACAATATATGGTTGCCTACTTGTTGGCCAAGGCTCAAGAGTTTGTTGAGAATTAAGCTGCATTCTTGCTTTAGAAGTTACCCTGCAGAAGCTAAACCTGCAGATGAAATCAAAAAGGAGCTGAGAAATGTGAAGAAATTAAGACTTTACTAAATCAGGAGTAGCCATTGAAATTCAACAGCTAGTTTCTTTTACTAGTTTAAGAAAGTTACAGCTGGTGTTTTTTCTTCTTTTGTCTTGTTAATTGGACTGAGCCTTCCCATCTTCTTCCAAGTGGATGGATGATATCCTCCAATAACCATTTATGGTCGGAGAGGAGTTCTAGGTTCCTAGATGTAGGATCTGATTTTAGACCGGCTGTAAAATGATATAGTCTTTTGTAATTTGTCTTTTGAGTTAGTGAGAAAATACACAGACTCTTGCTCTTCCTACCTTCTCTTGAAAGAAACAAATTTCTTCAAACCTTTGCTCAAAGTTTCAATCTTTTATCAACCTAATCGATATGCCTGGTACCATTTCAAACATGGTATCAGAGCTATTGGTCTGATTCCGAAGAAAGGGCGTTATACTGTGAGAGAAATCCAACTCCGGAAAAAAAACCAGAAAACCTTAAAGGTGGTTCTTTTATTGTGACTCTTTGTATTCTAGCTCAAGAAATGGCTGGATCGAGCACATCTGGTGGTGATTTACGAACACCACAATTTAATGGATCAAACTACGATTTTTGGGCCATTAAAATGGAAACCATTCTTATAGCCTACGATCTATGGGATGTGGTTGAAGCTGGGTTACCTGAACAACAAACTCCCAGAGAAGAAGGCTCTGAGGAAGAAGGAGAAAGCGAGACGGAAAACATTCCGGTTGAAGCTCCTGTTGTTACAAAGGAGGAGAGGATCAAGAATGCCAAGGCGTTGAGTCTCATCCAAAGTGCAATCACTGATGAGCTTTTTCCCAGAATCCGAAATGAGAAGACTGCAAAGGGTGCCTGGGAAATCTTGAGAAGAGAGTTCAGAGGAGATAAAAAGGTACGAGTTGTGAAATTACAAGCCATTAGAGCAGATTTTGAATATTTAAGGATGAATGATGTTGAATCTCTGGATGACTATTTGGCTCGGTTCTTTGAGATAGTAAACAACCTGAAATCTCTAGGAGAAGATGTAACCGAAAAAAGGATTGTTCAAAAGCTGTTGATGAGTCTAAATAGGAGATATAAGTCCATAGTGTCAATCATTGAGGAAACCAGAGATCTGGACAGTATTAGAGTTGAAGAAGTCCTAGCCTCAGTGAAAGTCTATGATAAAAGAGAAGACTTGCATGATGAAAGAGATAAATACACTGGTACAGAGAGGGCCTTCAGCAGTCTCAAGGTTGGAGGAAACGGAAGCAGTAATGGAAATTTCAAAGGCTCTCAGTATAAGACAAACTCAAAATGGACTCAATATAAAAAGGGGAAGAACTGGTCTCAGAATGGGAACTGGAGCAATACTAGTGGATCAAACTGGAACAACAACTCTGGAGGAAGTTGGAACAATAAGTTCAATCCACAGAACAAGCAAGGGAGTAATAGTCAAAGTGGTGTGAAACCACAGTGTCAAGTCTGCGAGAAATACCATTTTGGTGTGTGTAGATATAAAGGAAAAGCTAAGTGTGGAAAGTGCAATAGGTTTGGTCATATGGCAAAAGACTGTGATAACAACAGACAAGTGGCTAACTATGCCAAGGAAGAAGATGTAACCACTGGTACAATGTTCTATGCTTGTCACTCAGCATCAATAGAACAAGATAAATCTGTGTGGTTTGTGGATAGCGCTTGCAGCAATCACATGACTTCTCAAGAGTCTCTTCTATTGAATCTTGACAGATCAGTGACTTGTAGAGTTAAAATGGGGACTGGAGATTTGGTTCAAGCAACAGGCAAGGGAACACTGGTAGTAAATACAAAGCATGGGAAGAGATACATCAATGAAGTCCTGTTGGTTCCAAGATTAGATGAAAACCTGCTGAGTGTTGGTCAAATGATGGAACACGGCTACTATGTTCTGTTTGGAGGCAACATGGCTGTGATCTTCGATGACAGCAACCTTGAGAATGTGGTAGCCAAGGTAGTAATGACAGGGAACAGATGCTTTCCATTGTCTCTTGAATCTATAAATCCAGTGGCCAGAAAAGCATCAATTGAAGAAGAGTCTTGGATCTGGCATAAAAGGCTAGGTCACTTGAACTTTGCAAGTCTGAAAAGGATGCAGAAAGAATGGTTGGTGTTTGGTTTGCCTGAACTATCTGAAATGAAAGAAATCTGTGAGAGTTGTGTGTCTGGGAAGATGCATAGGGAACCATTTGATAAAGAGAAAGCTTGGAGAGCTAGTAATCCATTAGAACTGGTACACACAGATGTTTGTGGACCAATGCAGAATGAATCCATTGGTGGCAACAGATATTTCATAACATTCATAGATGATTTCTCAAGAATGTGTTGGGTGTACTTTCTTAGAAACAAATCTGATGTGTTCAATGTGTTTAAAAAATTCAAAGTCCTTGTGGAACTACAAAGTGGTTTTAAGCTCAAGAAGCTGAGAAGTGACAGAGGAGGTGAATATACATCCCATGAATTCTCAGACTTCTGTTCCAGCACTGGAATGGAGAGGCAATTGACAGTAGCATATTCTCCTCAGCAAAATGGAGTTGCTGAGAGAAGAAATAGAACCATTTGTGAAATGGCAAAATCTATGATGGCTGAGAAGAACATTCCTGTGATTTTCTGGGCTGAAGCAGTTGGAACTTCAGTATATCTGCAAAATAGATGTCCTACAATCTCAGTAAAGGGCAAGACTCCATTTGAAGCCTTCACAGAAAGAAAGCCAGGTGTAAAACACATGAGAATGTTCGGATGTATCTGTTATAGTCACATTCCATCCAAGCTTAGACAGAAGTTTGATGACAAAGCAAGCAAAGGAATTTTTATGGGGTATGGCAGTTGTGAAAAAGGTTACAGAATCTATAATCTTCAAACAGAGAAGATTATTCTCTCAAGGAGTGTAGTGTTTGATGAGAATAAGACCTGGAACTGGCAAAGCAAGCAAGATGAATCTGTCTACATACCTCCCACTATTGGAGATGAAAACACTGAGATGACAGAAACTGAAGAACATTTTCATGAACCTCATAGTATTGACTCTTCAAATCCTACTCAATTAATCTCAGATGATGAACATGTTCCTGGAAGCAACATTGCCAGTACAAGTCAAGGCTCAACACCAAGCAATACACCAGTAAAACTGAGAAGCTTGGAGGACATTTATGCAAGATGTAGCATGACCATCATTGAGCCTGAAACCTATCATGAAGCTATTGAAGACAATGCATGGAAGGAAGCAATGAATGCTGAGATTGAAACTATTGAGAAAAATGGAACTTGGGAGCTGGTGGAAAGACCTGCAGACAAGCCTGTCATAGGAGTCAAATGGGTGTTCAAAACCAAACTGAATCTCGATGGATCAGTTCAAAAACACAAGGCTAGACTTGTGGCAAAAGGGTATGCTCAGAAACCTGGTATTGACTACAATGAAACCTTTGCCCCAGTGGCAAAGGTTGGATACAATTCGAACTTTGATTGCACTTGCAGCACAAAAGGGTTGGAAATTGTTCCAACTAGATGTTAAGTCAGCCTTCTTAAATGGAGTGCTTGAGGAGGAGGTTTACACTGAGCAACCCGAGGGTTTTGAAGTCAAAAATGCAAGTCACAAGGTCTATAAGTTGAAGAAGGCTCTCTATGGTTTGAAGCAGGCTCCTAGAGCCTGGTACAGTGAGATTGACACTTATCTCACAAACTGCAATTTCAAAAGAAGCATAAGTGAGGCTACCTTATACACTAGAACTGATGATGAAGGAAATATGATCATAGTCTCTATATATGTTGATGATATAGTATACACTGGAGGTAGCAATACACTGCTCAGTGAGTTTAAAAGAGACATGATGCAGAAATATGAGATGACTGACTTAGGACTCTTACATCATTTCTTGGGAATGGGAGTTCTACAAACTGAAAGAGGGGTTTTTATTCATCAAAGCAAATATGCAAAGTCCTTACTTGTAAAGTTTGGTCTGGAGGATTGTAAGTCAGTGACAATACCTCTACCCACAGGTGAGAAACTGAAGAAAGTTGATGGAAGTGAGTTGGCGGATGAAGAGTTGTTCAGGAAAATAGTTGGCAGTTTGCTATATTTAACTGCAACTAGGCCTGATATAATGTATGCAGCCAATTTGCTATCAAGGTTCATGCATGGTCCCACGAAGAAGCACATGGGAATAGCTAAAAGAGTTCTTAGATACATTCAAGGTACTCTCAGCTATGGCATTGAATTTACAAGGGACAAGGATGCTGTTTTGATTGGATTTTGTGACTCAGATTGGGCTGGCAGTGAAGATGACAGTAGGAGCACATCCGGGTATGCATTCAGTTTTGGTAGTGGTACATTTTCATGGGCCTCAGTCAAGCAAAACACAGTTGCATTGTCAACTGCAGAAGCTGAGTATGTCTCAGCAGCAGGAGCAACAGCTCAAGCCATCTGGCTAAGATTTGTTTTGGATGATTTTGGTGAATTGCAAGCTGATGCAACACCATT